TGAGGCGCATTTAGCTTTCATCCCTGTGACGTCACAGGGATGAAAGGGAAGCGGCTGGACTACAAGCGAGCTGTTTTCAGTTCAGAGCAGAGTTTTCTGTGGGAGATGGGAACTCCCTTTGGGCTTTGTTGTTGTGTTTGTTGTGGATGGGGCTGCATAGTTAGGGTTCCCATGCTGAGCCCTGTCCACTGCTAAAATCACGTTTTCTTTACATCGCGTGGAGGTCCAGGTGCTGTGCGTCTCTTACCTGGGGAACACATGGCATCAGGATACAATATGGAAAGAAGGCAAACCAGCGGAGGCAGAGTGATGCTTTGCACAATGTTCTGCTGGGAAACCTTGGGTCCTGCCATTCATGTGGATGTTACTTTGACACGTACCACATACCAAAGCATTGTTGCAGACCATGTACACCCTTTCATGGAAACAGTATTCCCTGATGGCAGTGGCCTCTTTCAGCAGGATTATGTCCCCTGCCACAAAGCAAAAATGGTTCAGGAATGGTTTGAGGAATGAATTCAAGGTGTTGATTTGGCTATTGGATTGACTTTCAATCTAATAGACAGAGCATCTATGGGATGTGCTGGACAAACAAGTCAGATCCATGGAGACCCCACCTCACACCTTACAGGATTGAAAGGATCTGCTGCTAACGTCTTGGTGTCAGATACCACAGCACACCTTCAAGGGTCTGGTGTCCATGTCTCGAAAGATCAGGGCTGTTTTGGCAGCAAAAGGGGGGCCTTCACAATATTAGGCAGATGGTTATAATGTTATGGCTGATCAGTGGATCTTTAAATGTTACAGTAACGGCTGAAAAAGACAACATAAATAAACAAAAAGGCAGACTTTACTTATCTCCTCCTCCTTAATTTAAATCAACTGCTAGTTGTCTACCCGGAAGTGAATATTGTTGTTAGCACGACGTCAAGGTCATTCGGCCTATGGTTCAGAAAATAATTACACAATAAAAATGTTAAATTGGCAATATATTTTGGGTAAGTGTTGAATGACATGACGAAGGTCTGAATTTTCAGAAGCCAGGGCTTAGTATTGTATGTGTAAGCACAGTAAGTATCACAATTTTGTATTTCCGATGGTAAGGTTTTCTAAATTAGAGAAGCTTTAACAGAGATGCAAGACTGGCTGGAGGACGGATTACTGCCTCCTCTCAGAGCAGACCTTGTTCCCCAGTTGTTTGATCTTTTCTGCTTAATAAAAGCACTGGGAGAGCATGCCATTTAGAAACTTAAACATCAGGGCAGTGTTTTCCATGAGAAGCACATGCATCATTGATTTGCCTTGTGCTCTGCTGGGAGATGATCATTCACAGGAACAGTGCACATATAGAATATTGTTTAAGTTTTCTATTTTATGGGATTTCAATGGTTTGTCAGCCCCCTCCACCCAGACAATGTTGCAGCATTATTATTGTTATCAGTGTTAATGTTATTATTATTATTCCATGTTTGCAGACAACAGAAGTAGTGCAGGGATACAAATGCAGAAAGTAGGACACTCAGGCCAGTTTGGCTTAAGGCCACGCCACTGGGCACAGACTCAAGACGGAGCTTAAGACTGACAGTGAACGCAGTTGGATGGCAGATCTGAGCCAAATCTGACCATTCTCACACTAGATCTGGGACACTCCCTTTTTTGTTTTCTTTTTGCCATGCCTGTTTTACAGGAGACATGTAGTGCAACTTAAATGCTTTCACCGTTGCTGCTACTGCCAGGACAGTGCAATCCATATCTTTCATGTCTTAACCATCACACTCAGACACATGAAACACCTTCAGACTGTCATACAAACATCAAAGAAAATAATATGAAACTTAAATGATGCACTGTGAGGAACCCTCCCGGCCTCAGTTACTGTGATCCTGACTCTGCTGTCAGTAGAGGTGGCCGTCACACTTGTACAGTGAGGTTACTTTTAAGGAGGTCATAAAGCCACGTTCTGTATGCAATTTACTTTGGGTTTGGTGAGGCCCTGTGAACCAATGGTTACTGGCGAATACGCCTTGGGCACTGGGAATATGTAAATTACACGCAGAAAGCTTTGGCAGTGATGTTGTCTGAAAGCCAAACCATACTAGCTAGTTAGCCCCTGAATGTGCAGCTCATATAGCAAGTGTTGTGAGGAACCAGAACAGGAACAGTATCCAACGTCATCTAGAGCTTTTGTTGGGATTTGTTTTGTTTCTCAGTGCATTATATGGACTGTGGACAAACAATAGTCACACGGAGAGTGCCAATGATGTTAGAACCAAAGTTGGTGTTTCTGGAAACAAAATAAAACATGCTAAACCACCTCTTAGTGCTTATTTTCTATATACCTATAAACAGAGGCTGCTACATAAACAGTATTTTGAGAATTAAAATTTTATCTATTCACAAGAGATTCCCCTTCACATTTATTTCATCAAATACGTGCCGGTTTTGTTTTGAAAGGTTTAGGCGGAAGCTTCTGTCTGGTAATGACACTCCCCTCAGCTATGGGCTACTCTGTGTTGTGCAGTTGAACCCTGCTCTGACTGCTGCAGCTCTTTTAACCACAAACTGGGATCTCTCCAAGGGCATGTGTCAACAGAGACATCTGCCTCCCTGACACCACAGTGGCCTTCATGCCCTCCCACTGTCTGATCAGTATGGTGCATATGGCGAGAAAAACTGCGGAAACTGTGGCCAGCTGTCCTGTCCACAGCAAGACTGATATATCTAGTAATCGTGCTGTTAATGACATCTTTGGATCTCAGCCAGTCAGTGTTATATGTTTCTGGTGATTCTCCTGACTTTACTCAATCTTCATGTTGTCAGTGTGTAAAACAAGCTGCCCCATTCTGCCTTAAAAAGAACAACAAAAAAACATTTTCCAACGTAATTCTGCAGGCTTTAGCTTGTAGAGAGGGCGCATGCTCATGCAGTGACCAGCAGCAAGGCACGTCTGGTTTTATGTTTGTTCATTGTTTTGTTCATTTGTATGCACTGAATGTAACGGCCTGAGAGAGTGAGAAGAATACTACTTCTTCCTTATACTGCTTTGTTGGAAAACAAATAGCATGGAGTGGACAGCTTTGTTTTTATTGTGGATGGCGTCCACCTCGTGGAAACTCTGAATGAGTTGCCCAACCCATCGCACATCCGATACAGCAGGGACTTTCTCCTAAAATGGAGTAATATTCAGGTCAACAACCCTCTCTCGGATTTAATCTTCCCTAATCTCAACTGTTTCACTGATCAATCAAGAGGAAAAGGGTAATTTACTGGCGAGCTACCCTGCAAGACCAGGAAGCGAGATAAGAGGGGTGGCGTACTCCAAAAACGGAGAAAACAATCTTTCTCCCGGTTTCCCCTATTATTATTCTATCAAATGCCCAGTCCCTTCGAAATAAAACTGACGAGTAGCAAGCCCATGAACGTTTCCAACATGATTTTAGAGATACATGTTTACTGGTGATTACAGAGACATGGCTCTTGGGCAGTGATCTGGACTCGGAACTGGCCATTGACGGGTTTGGTGTACCCGTGCGCCCGGACCGAGATACGAGTGTGTCAAAGTCTGTGCACTAAAGATGTTGAACTATTGGCAGTGTCTTTGCGCCTCCAAATATTTGTTACAGTTTTGCACATTCACCCAAGAGCAAATGCGGATAAAGCCTCTGAGTCAATATTGCAAGTAACGTGTCGAACTAGCCATGATGACGTGTGTTTCGCTGTGACGTCACAGCAAAGCGGAAGAAAAGGTTCAGAGCAGAGTTTTCTGTGGGAGACGGGAACTCCCTTTGGGCTGGACTTCGGGTCTTTTCACTTTGCAATCCTATTACATGCACAAAAAAAACTCAATAAAAGGAGAGGGAAAAAGCCTAAAAGCATAATATGACCTCTTTAATTGTTACGTTTTTACGGCCCCATGACTACTGTGTTGGTTCAGTCTCACCGATCTTGTTTCTAGCTATTTTCCTCAGGAGTTGGTGGAGACCAAAACAGAACAAAAAGGAAAGTTAAAATTGGACTTACATGAGATCAGAGACACAGTTTTAAATTGATGCTATTGTATAAATTTGCAACCGTTGGCATCCAAATGCATTAATAATTTTATTAGACTTTTCGCCGATGCTACAAAACGTCACCGTGTCACATGACATTAAAACCTTGCAGGAGTAAGGTGGCTGCAGTTTTCTGAGTCAGGTGAATGCACTTGCTTTTCTCCAGCTGCATGAAGTTGGAACTACCTTTTGGCTGATGAAAGTAACACCAAACAGAGGTGACCAGAAACACAGGGAATAACCCAAATGTCCAAACACAAAACACATGACTACCTTCACAGTGAAGCACAATGAACACGCAACGGAAGGAATATACAACAGAAAGGGGTGAACATAATGACACACAGGTGAAACCACTAGGGCAATCAGAGACTGTATTGTTAATTTCACTCCAGAATATGAAGATATACAACAATATATTGACAATTATGCAATTCTAAAGTTGCATTCAGATTGAATGTGAAGGTAATTTTCCCCTTTCATGGTTTATTGATTGCTGGATTGTTTTTGCAGTCTTCGTTATTCAGTCCAAACCACCAATGTGTGGACCTTAGCGCTTTCTTTGAACTCTACTTATCTCAGTTATTTTCCTCCATCCCACTCTGCGCTCCTTCAGATTTATGACTGCAATTCATGAACGTACAAAGAGAAGAAGAAAAGCAAACTATTTGCTCAAGTTGATACATTTTAAACTTGTGCTACCTAGAGCAAATGTATTTCTGTTTGTGTACACACACATCTGTGTATTCAGTTTATATCCAATATATGTGTTGTCAGAATTTCATTTTTGTACTCACAGCACTGAAACATTCCAAATTAAGCTGCATGTCCATGTTACTCTGGATAATCCACACATCCTCCTGAAAACTGTTGACCTCTTATGGGGAAAAAGCTGCGTTGTATGTGTATGTATACTTGTACAGAGAAAGCATGTATACATGGATTAGAGATTTACTAGTTTATTAAGATTGCCATTTAACGGTGCATTCATGCAGCAGACACTCCAGGGCAGCATTGTGTTTCTGTAAGATCCAGACAAAGACATCAGACTTTCCATACCGTGAAGTAATGCCATTACATAAAGGAATTAACACCATTCAGTCAGCCTGAAATGACTGTGTGACAAACAAAAATGTTATGTGTGACATTGAAGGGCAATTCGGAGAAGACGGCTGAGACGGTGCATCACTCACACAAACTGTACAATTATTTCACTTGGCTAAAAGAACAGTGTGGAGAATCATGGCAGCATATGCCAAACACAAAGTGCGTGAGCGGTGAGGAGCAGCAGTGGGGAGAGGCAGCACAGACAGGAACAGACGGACATTTAACAGGACAGATGCTTCAGACATTACCACAGTTCAACACTGCACAGGACGTCAAAGGAGCTCCAAGGAGGACTGAAGGAAAGGTTCTGAAAGCACCAACTGTTAAAATAAAAATTCATCCCAAATTGTGTTTTACACAAATATTTGCTCTTTTAATTAATGATAGTTTTTTTAAATTATGTCTTCATAAAATACTCACATGCCATATGTAAACTGAGACAGTTATGGTTGCTGTAATCCTTCCTCATGCCCATACTGGCCATGAAGTGATCCCCTCCAAATGTATATCCACTGTAAGAGATGGGGGACAAAATTCACTGTCCTTGTTCTGTGTAAAAATGCATCCCATAGTTTAGGCAAAGCGAATCTTAGGCTTCAGCAGTCTGAGTTAGCAAAATCAAGTTAGTGGTAGTTCATCCTGGTAGTGGCACCGGAGGGTATGTTTATTGTTGTTGTTGTGTTCTGGCAACAAACCTACGAGTGACTACCACAACATAATCACAGATCAACAAGGAAACACTGTCAGGGTAATACAATGATTTTTGTACTGAAAACACTGTACCTTTGGGCATCCACTCAAAGTCTGGCAGCAGATGTTTGAATATGCTGGAGATGATTTATTAAAGACTAAAGTAAGACAGTTTGCTACAGTAGACTAACCAATAAGCTACAAAGGCATAGATGATGTTCTTAGTATCATGAGGTGAAAGGATGGATGTAATTATTGCAATATACAGTGTGCTGAGGGAAGCATGAGTGCATCGGTTTTGTGTTGTGCCTGTTAAAACAGATGAGTCACAGCTAAATTCTTGTGTCACGTCCTCCTGTGGTTAAGCCCAGGGGGAGGGGGGGGTGTAACACTTAAAAAGGAAACCGGGCCAAAAGAATCCAGTGGCATGTACTACAAAGTGAGGAGGGACTTTGTGACGTCGTCAGGTGTAACTTCCCGATTAACCCGTGCTACGAAAGGTAGATAGGTTTTACCCGAGGTATGCTGCCATGGCAATTTACGCTGCAGCTCTGAACTGCTCCGAGCAGGATATGTTTGTGGTAAACTCAACACGGTGGTTAACTACACACCACATCTGTGCTCGTTGTTAATGATGAGAAGTAGGCCATTAATACACGCCACTTGGTAAAATATTTTCATCCTGACTTGTTCCACTGTGGTTGCAGCTGAAATTAAGTTCTTCTGAACACTACAGCATTACGTTCATACAGAGCCCTGCAGCCTCTGTGATTTTAGGGTGGCGATCTTAATTAAATAGCAGGCCAGTTTCTGAGATGTCGCTCATCTGTAGGCTATAATTGAATTATCCTAAATGTTTTCACATATTTAGATTGAATATTTTACGTGATAGTGATGGAAATTCCCTGAAATTAAAGTCACGAAAAATCCCTCCAATCACTCTGGTGCTTTATTCTGGAAACGCCCAATTCACGGCAAAGTCTCTAAAGGTGATGATGCACGGAGCAACTTTTACAGCAATTCTACCGTAACCCCCTTCCCCACACCACCAGTCGGACTTGACACCAGCAACATTGCCCAGCAACATTGCTCAAAAAGTTGCCCGTGTAAGGTGCATGATAATTTGATTGTAGGCTGAATCATGAATATTTCCTCACTTCTAAATCCGATTGTGTTGTCCAATATAATTTTCCACTGCATGCCTAATGCATGGCAGAAGTGTGTGTGTGTGTGTTGCAGCCTTGCAAAGTGAAGCAATGTTCCTTGAAGAAAAAAAAACAAATATAACCTTAGTTTGCTTGATAACCCTGTGTTAAAATTGAGTGGGTTCAACTCCCTTCGTAAAGTCACAGTTCAAACCAGTAAGCTATTAATTAATAGATTGTTTTGCAGTGGAAAATTTCTCTATAGGTTTAAATTAACTTTGGGATGTCTATTTCACATTTATTTAATGAAATACTTTAAAAACACATTAAGAGTGTAAGCAGCTCATATTCAAAAACTCACTTTTAAAATAGGCTACATTTATTTGTTTTAGCTGCACCACAGTCATCCTCACTCCATTTCCAGCATGATAACTACTAGCTAATTCTATCTTTTTTTTTTTTACTCTACTGCAAATGATGTGATCTGTATGTGCTTTGATATCAACAGTAGGAATGAGGAAATGAAACAGTGTGTCAGCAGGAGTGGTGGAGTCAGAGAGAAACTGATTGGTCAGTATGCAATGTTTTTCAGAGAGAGTTGAGGCAGAGGACAATATTTACCATCCATCCATCAACCGCTTATCCGACAGGGTCGCGGGGGAAAATATTTACCTTTCCTTCATAATCATAAAAGTGCTTTCTGTAAGACATACTGAACAACCTCCAGCTCTTTTTTTTCCCTCATAGTTTGGGGGTCTTGGTGGTCACGTGTTTAGGTTGAAAAGACATGCGAAAGTGCAATTCCTGGCCACATGCTCCAAACAAATAGGAGGCAGCATTTCACCTCTTTCGAGCCTCCGACTCCCCCTCAGCCAGGCTACTCTCCAAGCCAGGGGTTCTTAACCTTTCTGGCAGTCCGACCCCTTTCTGAAGTTCAAAATATTTCGCCCCTGCGTGTTTGTACACCTCACACACTCAAAACAGTGCCAGAGCAGGCGCCCTCCCTGTGTCTGTGTTTTTTAAAGCAGATATTTTTAGCAATAAAAGACACAGACCTGTGAGTTGTGATGAAGTTTCTGCTAATATGACCGTTATTACTTAGCAGCAAACCAAAGTTTAAAGATCGCTGGCGCTATAATCTTTGATTAGACTGACAGGACAGCTGATTCGGTGGTTGCCTATCAACATAAAAAAAAACGCAGCGCTCTTTTTCCAAATTCAACCACGCTCTAGTCCCGACCCCAGGTTAAGAACCACTGCTCTAAGCGATTCTGCTCCCCTGCTCTCGTTTAATCACAAGTGACGTTAGATCTTATCTTTATAATAATGTCATGAATTATGCTTTTTGTCTTCCAGGATTAGTGGGCGTCTCTTCTTCTGCAACAGTGAAGTTAAAGGACCATGGCTTTGTGTTTTATGTCTGTGGGGAGGGGCTGCCAATGTGTGTCTGCTCCTCTCTGACTCTGTTTAAACACAACTGAGAAATATGTGTAATAAGTTAGTAATAAAAAACAAATTTAACAAACAGCAGTGATAGTATTTCTATTAAGTAGCTATATTGGATGAACAGATTTGATATTTCATTGTGGGAATTGAAACTCCAGCAGAACAGCCAGGAGAGGGACAGAGAAATCAAAAGGATTGACAAGCATGAGACACATCATCAATTTACATCATATGTATCATTTATATTATTTATAGTAGATTATCGTTGTGTTTTCTTGCCAGATTTGCTTGCAGCTATACCTATACTGACTTGTCTGTGTTAACAGCCCAATTGGTTAACATGAGTGCAGAAAGGAGGCAGGCAGTGCTTCGGGGCGCTTCCTCCTCCTGTGTGGACAACGCCAATTTCACAGCCAGTCTGCCCAGTCAGACACAGGGAATAGAGGTAGTGGAGGAACGAGAGGTCGGGGAGCGCGAGGAAGAACAGCTCGTGCAATGAAAGACAATCCCTTGGGGTAACTCTACGTTTTTATCCTCTCATGTTGGACAGAGGGCAGACTGGATGCTGCAGTGACTCACTATCACATCTTAAGGCACAAGTGGTATTACAAGACAGCCGGGACTAGCTAGTTAGCATGCTAACTTAATACAACATAACACACAGACGTCTTTGACATTATGTCAGAACTGTTCATTTTTAAACTAAAATTCTGGCCGTGTCTTACATATTGTACCTTAATCATAATTCGAATCATGAAGACACAAATTTATTTTTTAATTTTTAGTCACATACAGAATTTGATAGTCATTTAGGATTGTTACTAATGTTCAAGTGGGTGTTGTCTGCATAAAAACGGTCAGAAATATTGTCCTGGCAATTGGTTTAACCAAAGAGTAAATATAAATACAAAACAGTATAGGACCATTGATGGACTTTGCCCCCCCCCCCGGTAACGACCAATATGGAGCAGACAACTGCTGGGCCAGTGAGAGATGACAACTTGAAGCCCCTGCTTCTCCTCTGTAGCTAAATTCTGCTTTGTCTTTCTTTGGGAACAGTGATGAGACAGGAAGAAAAACAGCATGAAACTGCCTCCAGATTGAATTATGCATGCCTCCATCTGCTGACAGAGGACAAGTCTGTCAGGCCTCCTCAGCGTCACTACACACAAACAGATACATACACAGCTCACTTTACTCACGCAGGTTTATAGTTCATTAGCCCGCTGTGTCTATAACAAACGTAATCCCTCAGGTTAACTGTGCCACTCACTCTGCTGCAATGTTGATCCACATGGAATTGGCTGATTGAAGAGCAAACACCAAGCACGCATCAGTTTTCCCAGCAGGATGCTGTTCCTGAATATCCACTGTACTTCTATCTTACTGTGGTCCCAATCAGATATTTCAAAGCTGATAGTGGCTGATATTTCATACATTTTCTTTTTCTTCTAACAGGATAGAGAAGCAATCGATCTAGGTGGAGAAAGGTCAAGGAGCAGCACTTGAACCTCCTTCATTGCCATATAGGAAATATAAGAAAACATGGGCTATATTGTCGTCCAGTGGGCTACTGGCTGTGCAAAATGCAGCACCAGAGCACACAAAAAAGAAATGTTGACAGACAGAGGAAAGAAAAATAAATTAAAAATTATTATTTTTAAAAAAGGTATTACAGAAACAAACGTGAGAGAGCTTGGGGTATGTTATGGTATGTATCAGGTTTTCATACAAGCTTTATGATGTAAATAACTGCATATAACAATTGTAAATTGTATATCTTAATATGCAGAGACAGTTCTGTTTTTGGATCAATAAGAAAACACATTTATTAAAGTATAACTTCTGTATTTTTCAATCTTTTTTTGCTGTGTGACTAATTGGGACAACATTTTTTAAAACTGGTCCAGTATTGAGTGAGCGCGCTGCAGTCGGCAGCAGTGAAACAGGGCTACAGTGTAATCCTTGTGGGCAGTTGCACCCCGTCAACATACACCCACTAAAAGTGCTTGTTTTTGCAACTGAAATAATTAAAACAAAAACAAACAAACACTCATGTGTACCCACGGCTTTTATAACTCTAAATCATTGCTGAATCGGGATTATGTGAGCCTGAGTCCTCTTTCCACTTCCAAATTTTACCATAAATACATATAAACACTTCCATGACTCAGTCAAATCTGAACACAAAGCCGTGATACACATGCAAATAAATGTTAATAAATCCACCCAGAAAAAAAGCTCTTTGTACTGCCAGAACTTGCCTGAGAATCATAACATTTATACATTTTGTTCAGCATCAAAGTAATCCAGTTGTCTGTACATCCATGGGTACATAGCGATGGAAACCGCTTTTAGGTAACTCAGCATACTTGCCAAAATATAAACAAACAGTGACAAAAAAATAAATAGTGCCAGAACTAACCGAGTCCATGGCAACATCCCCAAAGCCCCCAAATTATATGAACTTATTTACAAAACTTAAAAGCCTGATCAGTGTTAGACCTTGAAGACTGCTGATTTCTACAGTTTATAAAGCTCAATCTGAAACAGATATCACAAAAACTACTGCAAAACAAAAAACAGTCAGCAATATTGGTTTAAAACCTAAACCAACAACAATTTATAACCAGATTCCATCTCTCACCTTACTTTTCATCTCCATCTTGACATATCACCCCTGGAATGCTCTAAAAACGCTTGTCCTTCTGGTCTCACCACAAAATCTGTTTTTATTAAAACCAGTTTATGTAGGCGAGCACATACAGGTGCTCGCCTCTATGTGCTCTAACTGTACTCCTGGTCTACTGAGA